CTGACCTTGGCATCAGGCTGTTAGCATGGCAAGGAGGAGAGATGAGTTAGCTGGCAGCCTGCCTGTGTGTGGCAAGGGCTCTTTAAAGCCTCAAAGGATGCATTAGTTTGATGTCAGAGGCTTTGTCTGTGGCATTCCCTGGAATAATCATCCTCCCTCTGTGTGTGTGTGTGTGTACATGTATCTCTTCCCTGTCTGTGTCTCTGATGCTCCCCCATCCCGTGTCCGAAGAGCTCAGCTAGACAGCATGGATAACTCCAGTGAGACAGATGGAGATGGATCCAGGCCTCTGTGGGGACAGCTGCATCCCTGACAGTCCCCTCTGGTCGTGCACCTGTTAGAAACTATACTTAGCATGGGAAAACTTTCCAGAAAAGAGGAAGCAGGAGAGAAGTGGGGAGGCAGGAAGGCTGGGAATTTGGCCTCATTCTCACCACCACGTCCTGAAGCTCCAAAAGTGCGTGTCAGTAATAGCATCCAAAAATGACAATCAGGTGAAAAGCAGGCAGTGTACCAAGGCATGCTGACACTGTTCAGAGACAGCTTGAGCGAGTGACGGCTTCATAACTCCTGGGTGAAATGCCAGGAAGCCTGGTGTGTTTGTCCTGACAGGCCCCAGCAGCCCAGATCACTCGGCAACTGCCATATGGGAACTCCAGTAGATACCGAGTGAGGCACGTGCCGGGGGGGGTCACCGGTTGAGCCTTCCCCGTTGGGAGATGTGAGGCAGTGCAGACTCCCATGTCCATCACATATCACCCAGGACTATTGCAGTACCTCCAACGCTCCCCAGTTCAAGCAGCCCGGGCTCCTAAAGCGCTCGGCAAGCTGTCTGCCTGTGCTCCAACCTGTCTGTCACACTTACAGCCATCCACCCGCCCGCCCATCGTCCCTGTGCTTGGCCACCTACCCACAGAGCTCCTGTGGAATGACTGGGGGAGGAAATCCTCCTCCTTTTGGCACTATGCAAGGTTCTCTGTGAGGAGACGGGATTTTCAGCTCTTCTTTTTATAAATGAAGAACCTGAAGTTAGGTGCCCATGCTCTGATGGTAACTAAATATGCCTCGGTCCCTGTTGCCCCCTTTCTTGCAGCAAGGGCTCCCTGGGAGCTTTGCAAGGAGGCAAACTGGGCTGTGGTGTCTTGCCTGAGCAGAGGCAGCCAACCCAGGTAGGTTTAGGGGCCATGTTTTCTTTTCTATTCTTTTCCTTTGGTAAGTGATGAGCTGCCTTTTCACCACACAAGACTCCCACTGGCACAGGAGGTGCCCGATGGCCATCTCTGCTGTGTCACTCGTGGCATGCCGCAGTGGCTGCAACCTCTCCCAACCACTCCTCATCTTCTCTCCAAACCACTCCTCATCTTCTCTCCAAACCACTCCTCATCCTCTCTCCAAACCACTCCTCATCTTCTCTCCAAACCACTCCTCATCTTCCCCCCTGGGGAGGAGCTCCTGAGCTCCTTCTCTGGAGAGAGTCCCCTTCCCTGGGTCTCCAGCTGGTGAAGAGTGAAACTCTATCAGTTCTTCGGAACTGCAGGAAGCTTGGAATGAATGAGAATCCAGCAGGTCTCAAATGCCTCCAGAGCCATCCCCCCGCAGGGCCGGGCTCCCGGCGCTGCTGACAGCCGGCATTGCCTCCCTGGAAGGACACTCTGCTTCGCGCTCAGCTGCTCTCCCGCCGTGCCGACCCGCACACCCTCTCTAATACCTGCATGCCACTCATGCAGTTAGCATTTCAGTATTTATGGCCACCTGGGCTGTTGCTTAGCGGGGGGATTTGCTGTACTTAGATGAAAAATGCAACAGGAACTTTAAACTGCTCCGTGGCTAAATTGAGTTCAGTTTTCCAGACCCTGCAGCTCTCAGCTATCCTCCTCTGCCCTGTTACCGTGCCCTCTTAGCAAGAATCGAGAAAACTATTACGTTGCAGTTAGGAACCACTGAGCACTATGGGTTTTACTAAGCATCTCCCCTCAATGATGTTCTTAGTCAGTGTTGCCCAGCCTCAGGGGCAAGTTCTGGGTGTGAAACCAAGAAAGGAAGAGGGAATACAGCGTACCGTGAGGGTATCTGCAGCATCTCCAACGGATGGGATAAATGCATAATATTCCTAGCTGCCTACTCTAGAGTTTTGTGGTGCTGGAACGGTTTGTGTTTACACACCTGTGCAGTAGATATGAATAGGGGCATCTTACCTTTTCCAGGTGCTCAAGCCCTGCTGGTACCGGTGCCCGCTGTGCCAGCTCCGATGCCACAAGATTGGTTTCTGTGCCATTGGAAGTGGGGAGATGCTTGTCTGCTCTTTGAGTGGCCACTGGCAGCTTTTTCCTCTTAAGACTGGGAGATTCCTTCACATTTCCCAGCTTTTCTGTGTGGCGTTAGGAAGTGATTCGTAGAGAGACTCATACCTATTTCTACTTGGGAGCAGGAGAAACAGAAGGTCGTTTGTAATCTCAGTCATGGAGACGGATTGAATGAAACTGGTAAGTGTGGAATAACTGGGTAACCTGTATGTTACTTGCAAGGTGCCTCCCCTCTCTTCACATGTGCCACGGAGGCTTTCCTGGAACCAGAGGCACTAACCAACATAAATAGCTTCTGTCAATGCGCTTTATTGGACTACATCAAAGTAGAATCAATAAAGAGTTAAAACCCCCCCAAAAACGGATTTACTAAGCCAGACCCAGTCATAAAAAGATTAGAGTGCTGTGGAGGTCAGGTTTCGGCTGGCATTCATGAAAATAGGGGGATTCTGGTGTTGTTGGAGGGTGATTCATTGCATTGGAATATTTCAGGGGAGGAGAACTGTACAGGAGTTGTTACCACACTGCTGCAAAGAGAGGGGCTCCTTGTGTGTCAGGTTTCTGCCTCCAAGTTGGCTGTCACAGACTTGTACTGATATAATATATATCAGTACAAGTTATCTGTTTCCACTTAACCTAGATGAAAGCCTGAGTGTGGTTATTGCATTCTAAAGTTGCTGGAACTTGTTAATAATTTAGAATAATAAAGTCAGTCAAATTAATTCACTCCTAAAATTGGGCTTATTTGCATTGGCTTGTCTTTTTTTTGTAACAGATCCTCTCTGCGGGCATATGTTTGTGTAAGCTTTTTGTATGTGCTTGTGAGTGTTTGTGTGCATACGTAATTTCCTTCACCATCTTACAACCAAAAGAGGCTGAGCTGGATTTAAACGCCGTACGGGAAAAATAGTTTCTCCCTGCCTGTGAATATATTCAGTGAAGGTCCACCCCAGAGTGAAGCCAAATAGCTAAGGTATAAATCCGTGGGAAAAAAATGGGGTTTGTAATGGAAATGCTCCCTTGTTTTAAATTATAGCTAGGCATATGTGAAGCTGAAATTCATACTGCAGCATCCAGACGGTGCCTCAAGCTGGCCGCACATTCCCAGAAATAAAGAAAAATACCACAGCCTACCTGCAAAATGACCTTTCTCCTAACACCGACTTGCAGCTCAGAAGCTTTTGTGCTGTAAGAGGCAGGGTAAGATACATGAAGTGACAGATTGCTGCTGACAGTGAAAGGCTCTTTCAGCTGCATTTCTCTACAGCCACAGTGATATATCCAGGGGCTTGTTAGAGGAACAACGGCACCAGCCAATAACCAGTTGGTCTAAGCCCTAGAGATAGACCGTATGTCCCACACTCTGTTTCCTAATCTGCCAATGTAGAGTAAATTCAGCTGCCATATCACTTCTGTCCCTGCATGTTATGTAGCTAGCAAAGAAATGCACCTGTGTATTTATCTGTCTATGGTAATGCCTATATCTATAAATAACCATGTTTGTATCTGTGCATGCGTGTGTGTGCATATTTATGTGTCTGTGTGTTTATTATGGGTGAGGCTGGTTGTAGAGCGGTTCAGAAAAATGGAAATCCTTTTGTGCAAATCATGCTTTTGTGGAGGAAAGGAGAGCCAGGAGACCAGGGGTGATGAATTGGCCCTGAACCGCGATGACAATTTTTTTTTTTGTTAAAGGCAAAACAATTTCAGGGAAAGGGTCTCCAAAAAAGTCCAGTTTCAGGAGGTAGCTCAATTGAATTTCTGGTTCCTGGCTGCCTGCCTGGAGGGCCTCTTGTCACTTCTGCTTTCTTCCAACAAGGCAGAAGGCAGAATTGACAGCAGCCTTCCCGCCAGGCTGTTAGAGAAGCAGGGAAGCCAGATGCTTTGCCTCCCTGCTCCCTCCCCCTCCTGCGGCCCAAGAGCCAGAGAGTGAAGTTGCTTAACTTTTCCATCGTTGCTCTCCAGTGTTCCTGGTCTGACCCAGCGGGGATCCTGGGGAATGAGATAATGCCTGGTAGTCCGCAGAGTCAGCGTGTGCGCACGAAGGGGTTCCTCACTGTTGAGGGGTAGGAGTGTGCATGTCACACGAAATATTGTTCAGCCTTTGAACAGAAAAGTAAAATTCTACTTTTGTGCAAAAAGTTTGTGTGGAGAGGCACACTGGTGGAAATGGGTTGATATACAAGCCTCTCCCCTAGAGCAAAACCGGGACAAGTAGTTGTATAATATGATTTCAGAGCTTCCATTCCAAACTCACTTCTAAGCTCACTCTCAACCCGTGATATTTGTGTAACTGCGTATAGGGTACGTTGAGGGTGATAGCTAAAATATTGTTACGATTTCTTCTGCAAGGACGGTATGCTCAGCCCCTCTCTTTTCTTCTTTGCATAGGATTATCATCTTTAGATGGTAAATGTAAGAAGGTTTCAGTTGCTGTTGAATTAACATTTCTGCACGCATCATTTAACTAGATAATTTGCTGACTCTAAAATTTTTGTGTAATCAAATTGGTTGGCTGTTTTAACATTCTTAAATGGTAGTTAAAATGATGTGGAGAATGGACCTCTTTCTTTAGATTGAGGGCAGTAGCAGGGTAAGGTTCTCCAATATAGTTTTTTGCGACAGGGCCTGCTCTGAGTCAGGGGTTGTGCATTTCCAGTACACACGACCCACAGAACTCTTGCTCTCCCTTTCCAGCCTGCTGACGACTGCAAAATGGAGTGTCAGATTGGTAGTGGACGGCCAGGAAATGCCACCCTCTCCCTCCCCGAGCTCGTCTCTTTGCGGAAAGCCCTGTATGCCAGTTAAGGTGAGAACCCTTCTTCTCTGCTAAGCTCATCTGCACTGAAGCTGGCAGTCCGTGGGCGAATGTCTCTGCAACCTCTTGGCTCTGCCGGGATCATCCAGACATCTTGAAAAGCAGGGAAATCATAGAGCTTCATTAAAATACATACTGTCCCTTCCTCCTCCTCTGTGCCGCTTTATGTCTTCTCTATGCCCAGCAGTTATATCACGGTCTATCCAGTGCGTGCTTGTACACTCCTGCCTTGTGCCACTGGTCTCTCGGTCCCTCTGCCGCCTTCCCCAGGAGGGGAGAATCGTGATGGAGCAGGCGTTCCTCCTCGTTTGGCATGCACTGCTGCCCGTGCCAGCTCAGGCAGGAGCGAACATCAGCCTAGGGCAAACCACGAACATTTGTAGCCTGCAGCAAGGCAAAAAGTGTTGCCCAGAACAGCCTTTGGAAATATTTTAATTACCCCTGGTTGAACTGGCAATCAACTAGCTCGAGGTAAAGATCACAAGTGGAGGCAAAGTCTGAGGGGAATTTTATGCTTGGAGTCAAATTTCAGCAATGTTTTTGAAGCATTCCTAATTGGTATGGTTTAACAGCCATCACCAAGCATCCCCCAAATCAAAACAGTTCTGATGTACATGGAAAGCAAATCACAGTCGTGCAGCTTTAGCACCGTGTTGTGAGGTGGATGAACACGGGACTTATAAAAGAATCAGCCTAACCACTGACGTCTTTCTGAGCAGCTGTACAGTCAGAAGACTTTTTTAATGGACTGTGAATCAAAGAATGAAATGTACTTTTTGTTTCTCCAGACTTGCTAGTGAACGAAGAGCTTGTGTCTGCCTGACGGCTTTCTGATCAAGTCATCTTTGCCAGCCAAAGCAGATTCTTCTTGCCTGCTTCCAAGAGGCGTGAGCTTAAACAACTGGTCTCAGAGTGGGGCGTCTCTACAGTCTGAGCCATGAAGAGAGGTGATTATTCCTCCCTAATAATTCAGTTTCCCATAAGGAAATTATCACACACAGAGAGGCGTGCACCATCCTCTGTTGTGTCGACATGCACTGCTAGAAAGATTTATTTCCGTAATAAGGTCTTTGCAGTGAAACTTAACAAAAATGAGGGGGGCAAGTTTATTAATTATATATTTTACAGTTAATGAAAGATAATATTTAACAGAAGTAATTGCAGGCATCTGCCTTGATGGCACAATTCATTTTCAGTAATAAATGCTTTGTGCGTCCCTTTGTTGGACTGATCAGTTACAGAGACAAATCCTGCCTCGTGCTAAGCCCCTCTTATCTCTTTCCATTTGCAGGAGATGAAAAGTTCCCCTGTTCAGCGTATACAGAAGAGACTGGAGCTGAGCTGCTATCTCCGTAACAGTAAAACTACAGCAAAATCTGAATTCTTTGTTCATGTTTCATTGCCTGCTTTGAGGAAAACAGTGATCATGAGCTCAGGCATCAGCCTCGGGGTGAGTATAGATACCACCCACACCAGCTCTACCAACACACTGCGATCTGCATCTGGTTCCCCCCATGCTTGTTTATCCCTCGCAGGCCCTGCTGCAGGCTCGGGTAGGCATAAAAGCCTTGTTCTCCAGGTATTTCACCCCTCAAGCGGCTTCTAAGCAGCCTCTTTCACTTCTGCTGAAGTACCACGTAGGAACACTTGCCACTCATCTCAGCTTGCATTCAAGCCATTTTCAAAACCTGGTCATGGATGTACATTAGCTGTCCGTGTAGTAACCTGCCAGGTTGTTGGAGCATATGCCCCTTTGGTATCTGATACAAAGGGTGGCTTGTAAGCCCTGAAATTTATAGAGTGGGAAAATTTATTTTGCAGTATCACCGGTAATTCTTCAATGCTCCTAACACCTTTCAAGCAGGTTGGTAGATTCTACCTCATGTAGGTGTCCAGCTCTCACTTGTCTTCCTGCTACTTGAGGTACATTACACAGCCTGTGACACACAGTTGAGTGATTTTTATTCCCTCCACTTGAGGGAAGTATCTTACAACATTTTAAACTGGTCCACTGTGATTGACTCATGCCACCTACTTCTGAAATGCAGCCAACAAGGTAAGAGAAGGTTTAGGAAAGTTAACAGCATCCAGATCAATTTAGGACAGGAAGTAAAACCCAAAGTTGGATGTTAAAACGTTGTAAACAGACAAAGGCAGAACACAGAGCCGTCCTGTGACAGTGTGACATTCCTTCCTTTGTTCTTTTTTTTTTCTTTAAAAACTGTCTGTGCAAGTTGGTGGGTTCTCCCCATGGGATTCACTGCAGATGGGCTGTGGTGGTGAGGTCGTTAGCTCTAATAGCTATGTACACCTCGAGACAACAGTCCTTCATACCTAAGAGGTTGATGGGAACTCTTCAAGGAGGTGTTTTTCTAATGGTGTGCCACAGAGATCAGGGTTAGGTCCAGTCTTCTGTAGTGTCTTCATTAATGAGCTGAAAGAAGGGGTAAACAGCATGTCGATGACATCTGGGGTGAAAGAAGAGAGAACAGTGCAAAGGGCCGGGGGAGGTCACCGGTGCCAGCCCGCCAGAGATGTGGCTGGGTTGTGTCTGCCATGGGCTTTCAGTCTGTTTTCACACTGGCCTGATTTTGTGAGTAAAATGCAGAGACTTGGGGCTGAGTCTGGGCAACCAGAGCAGTGGGTTGGGTGTTCAGTTGGCTACTCTTCTTGAAAACACAGGTTTTCTGCAGACCCATCTTGTAAATATTTAAATGCATGAATAGCGGAACCAGCAAGTCTGGGTGGAGATTTGCAAGGATAGAGGGAAGCAGAGTGTGTGTGAGTTGCATTTCTCTTCCTCACGTGTCTGCACTCGAATGTGCACGTCTTCCAATACCTTCCAGAGAGATTTTCATCCAAAGAGCTCTGACAGCCTTTCAGGCATCAGTCACACAAACGTCGCAATAAATCTGCAAGGTCAGGAAGTGTTTTCAGGTGGGGGAGAAGCCTGTGTCTCTGTGCTGTTCCTCAGAGGAGCGATTTGTGCCCGAGCAAGGAGAGGTGAACAGAGGGCTAGTGACTCCTGCAAGTGTGCACGTTTGCTGCAATCAGAGCTTTCCTGATTCCTAGAGCCAGGGATGGGAGCCAGGTCTCCTGAACCCCTGTTCTCCGCCTTGACCACTAGAAACACTTCCTCCCCACAGAAACCTCACCATGAAACCACCCACAGGAGAACGGCTTTGTTGTTTGGCAGGGATAGCACAGGCTCTGCTCTACCCAATCCGCAGGCGCATTTTTGGGGTTACGTGTTTACTAAAATCTTGGCTTTGCTGGTCTGGAGAGAATAAAAGTTGATTGTTCACCAGCCAGGGATCGGCGTCTCCCTGCCTGTACGTGTAAGTATCTCTGTACAGCCATACCAGGCCATAGGGAATGTTTGTGGTGCAGCAGCATGCTTGTATTAGAAGCCTTGTCTCTCTTCTGTGGTAAACATGTCTCTTGTTACCTGTTCTCACTGAAGCTTTTCTGGCTTCTCCTATCCTTTACTTGGCCACTTTGGCTTCAGGGCCTCGTGATAGCTGGATTGATTGATTTATTTAATAATAAAACTTAAAGAAGTGGTTGTTTTCCACATTGCTCCGTCCCAGGCAGTGGCTGTCTCTGAGGAGCCGGGTCATGATGGGGTTAGTGTGGAGGGAAGCAGGGCTGCTTGGTGAGCCTCAGCTCTGCCAACACCACTGTTCCTTCTGCTTCTCAGCCTTCTCCCAGTAACCCCCCCTCCTCCTGAACTGGCAGGAAAATTTATGATGCTGTGCAGGCTGTCCAGACCTTCCCAGTTCCATCTTTCTCAGCATGGGGCAGGGATCATGTAAAAGGGAGTTCACAGCCCAAGTCTACAAACAGGACAATATGACAATAGAGACAAGACGACGGAAGACAAGGAGTAGGCCTTCCATCGGTTATTTCTCCTGTGCAGGTCCCTACTAGGTGTCACAGCATGTGCTGGCTGTTTCTCACCCGCTCCGTGGGCCCACGTCTGAGCGTGGCAGCTCAGCACATGGAGGATCTTCCAGAACCCAGGTTTGGCTGTGCAGATCTGGGCTCGTGGGACAGAACAGAGCCTCCCCGGTGCGTCCGGTCCCAGTGGGAGTCCAGCACGAGAGTCTCATGTCGTATTTGTGAGATTGGATTGCTGGTCCCATTCTCCAAGCCAGCATAGCACACGATAATACTGAGACTGCGCAAGGAGAACCAAAATGGGAGAGAACTGAGCATTGCAGGGAGAAGAGGCAGGCAGCAGAGGAGCACTGTGGGGAGAAGAGGCAGGCAGCAGAGGGAAGTGGGAATGGTTGTGGAAGTGAACTCTTGATCAGAGATATCAGGAAGGAAGGAGGAGAAGACTTTACTCTGGTCAAAGTAAAGGGAAAGACTGGGTGAGGCTGGAGAGCTTCCGTGGCCTTATCCCATCTTCTACAAGGAGTGGTGACATCTTACCCATAGGGGCTGGCAGTGTTGTCTGTTTATTTGCACGGCTGGGAAGCAAGTGCACTCTTTTGGATGTCGTTTTAAAACAAAAATCAGAGGTCTGTGCTCTGGATCCTGACCTGAGGCATCTGCTGTTCCTCATCTGAAGGCAATCAACTCCTGACTGGTGTGGGGAAGTGTTCCCCCACCCCCAGCTTCACACATGGTACCGACAGGTCTAATGAACCATTTTGCTGCTTCAGGAGACTTGATTTTATTCCGCTTCCTAAAATCTTGAGTTCTGCGGTATCTGCATGCCGGCACTGCTTTGCAGTTGAGCTGGTTCATCACTAATGCTTTCCTGTCTGTTGGTTTTACAGCTGGATCATGAAACCCGCTTCCCATCACTCTCTGACCTTGGTTTTGCAGAGTGTTCAGGTGCATCTTAAAGACATCATGTTTCAAGAGGCAGGAGTCTGTCACACCCACAGCTCTGTACCTCCGGTGGTTCCTTTCCATGAAGGTTTGGCCCTTCCTTCAGGACAAAGTCTGTGTCTTCACGGTGTTTCTGCCCATAGAACTGGTAACACTGTGGTCGTTTTACACAGCAGCAGCAGAATGAAGAAAGCAGAGGCAATCAGGACCCAGAATAATTATGTTTATCATCTCTAATCATCACACAGGGTCTGACTGCACATGAGCACTTCTAGCAGGCTGCTTTCAGGAACACAGAATGTAGGCAGTATTGTTAGGGGATTCACTGATTACTTGAAAGGATACTAGCTAGCCAGCAGGGGATTCTCTGGACTGTAAGTGCACCTATTTATTACAGATGTGGAAAACAAGGGCATATCCAATGCTGAACCCGTCTCTGTGTGTGCAGGGTGTAGTTTCCAGAGTCAGGCTGCGGAAATAACAACTCAGCCCCTTTCTGACCGATCCCTGGGATTTGGAAGGTATAACCTGGAAGAGCCTACAGCTGCTGGAACCTCTCTCCATTGAAGGGATTATTCCAAGGGAACTCTCTGATGTTTCCCCTTGTGACTCTGCTTCCTCCCTAGTTTCATGCCAGTCCTGAAATACATAACCCTGAACAAAGACTTAGGACCAAGTTCCCTGCTGGCACAACTATCCTCTACCACACTGCTGCTCGGTCTGAGAGTGCTGAGCAGAAATGTCAAAGCAAATTCAAGTGATGTCACTTCAGAAAAGGCCCCTGAAAGCATTTGCAATCAAGAAAAAATAACGTTCTCCAACCCATATCCTTGCAGCTTAGTCCTCTTTCTCCTCGTGCTGTACTGTTACGGAGAGCCAGGCTTTGGAGCAAGGGAGAAAGGGCTGAAGAAAGCCTTGGCCGAGATGAGTACAGTCAGTTGCTGCATTTAGCCATTTGATGGAAGGTCTTAGTAGCAATCTGTTTGGCAGTAAAAGTCTTAAAGCTGAGAGCACAGGAAGAGTTAAAGCCAAGTATGTGTGTGTAGTGGAATTAGTTGGAATCCCATCAAAAGCCTGTGACACTTCATCTCTTCAGCAAAACATCTGAGATGCTGCACATTTACTTACTCTGATGTTCCGGGTTATAAAGTGACTTTCTAAACCCCTTGTTTTCCATGATGATCTCCAGATGAGGATGTGAAATCCCCCCTGACAGGACGCCAATCCTGAGGTGTCTCTGTGTGTGAAGGAGGGATATTTCTCATCCTCTCAGTATCTGTCAATGGGAACTGGTGTTTCTCCTGCAGACACCATCCCACTGCCAAGAACTCTGCTTTAGCGAGGCTCTTACGAACTACTTTCAAACCTGGAATGGGTTTTTTTTAGAGCCAGACATTGATATAAGTGTGTTTTTACTAAAATCCAAACGCAAGCCAATCAGTATTTTTCTCCAGCACTTCAATTTTCCTGCAGCTTGTTTTTCTAGGGGCATCCTCTCCTTCTGGCTTATCTGCGAGACTATAGGAATGCTTTCAAGACAGGAGCCATTCTCCTGTGTCTGAAGAGCAACCAGCTTAGGGACTGAGCCAGATATTTCTGTTATGTGGG